TGTGTATATATATATATATAAAATGTATGCACACACATGTGGGTTCATGTATAGATGTGTGTGCATACATATTCGTGTGTGTGCATACATATTCCTGAATACACATATATACATGCATGCACATATGTGTATATAGTCATGCATACACACACGTGTGTATGTATGTCTATATACACACACTATATATGTGTGTGCACATATATATATGCATGTGCACATGCACACACATTTATAAAAAAAAAAAAAACAAACAAACATAGAAACTGAATATTTGGAAAGGCCTTTTAAGCTTATCAAGTCCAGCCATAAACCCGTCCCTGCCCTCCTGCAAACCCACATCCCTAAGAGGATCTCAGCTACAGTGTCCTGAGAACTGCCAGGGATGGCAGCCCCTCCCAAGGCTCCCCCCACCCCAGGTAGGAAGCCTCCTGTTCAACCCAGTCCTCCCAGGCACAACTTGAGGCTGTTTCCTCTTGGCCTTTGGTAGTGATTTTTGAAGCTGTAGCTACGTGCGTGAGTGTGTGTGTGTGTGTGTGCGCACGCACATGCATAAATAGGCACATATGTGAGCATGAATATGCATGGTCATGCATACACATATACCCCACACACAGAGCTGCATGTGCATATATATATATACATATATATATATATATATACACACACACACACACACACATGTATACATCTAGCTACTTGTGTAGGTGTATATACACACACATATAGCTTTTGCAAAGGACAGCTTAGCTTTTCTTTTGCCTTTATGGGGAACCAAACAGCGTGGGGAGGAGAGAGAAAGAGAGGGGAAAGGTGGTGTGAAAGGAAGCAGAAGATGGAAAGAAAAGAAGAAAGAGCCTTAGCTAAGGCTGATACAAGTTTTCTCATTCAAGTTTTCTGGAAAAAGGAGCGGGTTGGCAGGGCTGCCAGCAGGCCAGGCTGTCGTGGGCGTGCCTTGCCAGGGCTGGGACGGTGTCCTTGTCCCTGTGAGCCTCATGGGAAGGCTGTTGGTGGTTGCCTGCTGGCCAGGCTCCCCCGGATGGTGGCTCTGCCATGTGGTGCAGGGTCAGCACCCCCATCTTGGAGCCTCTGCAGCCGTGATGAAGTCCCATCCATCTCCTCCTCTGGGCCTTTGGCGAAGACATTGAGCAGGGGCTGAAGGTTTTAAACAGCTCGTTCTTCATCTCTGGCTTCCTGCTTTTCTTCTAAATAGCTCCTACTAAACTTGTTATCCTTGAGTCACTCGGCGGAAATGCTGAGAACTCGCAGTGTTTAATTTGATTGCGTGAGGCCATTTGCTCTGTGTAAACGCAGGCGTGGGTCTGTTTAAGAGGAGACATTCCTGTGATCTGCCTGGCCCTGGGGCCCGGGGCAAATCAGGTAAAAAACAGCTCAGCTGCACAGCCCCCTGTGCACAGAGCTGGTGGGACAGGGCCTTCTCGGGAGAAAAGGGCTGGTTTTAGGAGCAGCCCCTAAGCAGGAAGGGATGGGCGTTGGGCCAGCAGTGCTCTCCTCTTCCTCACTTTCCTTGTCCCACTATGAGACAGTCTTGTGAGGAAAACATGGCACATCCCTCTGGGTCTTGTCCAGCCTTGTCCCAAGCCTAGAGCATCCACAAAGCCAGGACCCAGCGTATTCATCCCAGCTTATACCGAGCCTGGCTTTCCCTTGCTGCACCTCGGAGACAGGCCAGGGAAGCTGGGGTCTCCTGTCCAGCTTTGGAGAGAAGGACTTTACTCCCACTGGATGAGACACCAAGAACTAGAAATAAAATACCCAGCCAGAGCCTTGCCTCCCCTCCAGGTCTTCAGCCCACCAAGGGCTTGAAACCTGTTTGAGAAGGAGATTTGAAAGGGAACTATCTCCAGGCTTTGCCTGTGTTCCACAGTGTTGCGCTCAGAGCTGGGATTTCTTGCCTGCTGCTCATTTATAGATGGAACATCCGTTAGGTCCAGTGCTCGCTGCTCAGCTGAGCATGTCATGAGGAGGACATCTGGAAGAAAGTATTGTCCCAGCAGGGCTTTTAATTGCGGTTTATTCATCCTATTTATAGTCTGCAATTCTTTTCCCTCCCTGTTAGGTTAGGAAGCATTAACGGTGCTCTCGGCTCATTCATCTTCCTGCGTTTAGCCGTAAGGACGGCAGCTCTTTGCCCTCATCGCGCCAGAGCGCGTCCCGCACACAGAGCACAGCCCACACCTCCTCCTCGCCACAAGCCGGGTCCCCAGCACCTTTGGTGGGAAGGGGTGTTAGGTGCACGTGCTATTTCCAGAGCTTTTTTTGGGGGGGGGGGGGGGGGGGGGGGGGGGGGGGGGGGGGGGGGGGGGGGGGGGGGGGGTGCATCTTTTGGCCCACGGTTTTTGTATTACCTCCTGCAGCAAAGAGCTGTTTGGAGCAGGATGGAGCAACGTGGTCTCCTCCATACCCCCCCGCAGCCACCTGCCCGTTTCACTCCC